TTTTATTTAAATAATAATGATAAATGAGTATAAAATTTGAGAATAAAATTTAAAATTAATGATATAATAAATTATGTTATTTAAAATATTAAAAAAATAAAATTTATATTATTTAATAATTAATTTTTTATTTTTTAAAATTCATAATATATATTAATTAATTTAATAATATAATTTACATCATATTATTAATTTTATATTTTTATTCTAAATTTTCATCTTTTATCACATTACGGCTTCTTGAAAAGGTCGCACTGTATTAGATTTTAGACCGCAATTTAAAGTAGGGATGATCTCTACCAGAAATGTTTTTGTACTTTTTACCATAAAAAAAAAAAAGAAAAGAAAAGAAATGTTTTTTTAAATTTTAGATAACACTAAATAATCATTACATGAACAATGAGTCACATTGGAAGCGGTTTCTCGTACTTGACTAACGGTTGTCTTTCTTCTCTTTGACTAGCAGTTTAAGGTAGTTTTTTTTTTTTTTTTAAACAGTAATAATAATATTTATTAAAAAATAAAGTACAAAGAGTAATCAAATTCATAAACATTACAGCTTGAAAAGCATAAATTTATAGCAGTGAAATAGTCCTTCTGGTGTCGACACCAAATTTATGTGTCAACACCACGTCCCTGTCAGAGAATCTGGACGCTTACCATGTGGTGTCGATACCAACATTATGTGTCAGCACCACGTCCGTGTCGGAGATTTTGGATGCTAACAGTATGATGCTAGCAGTTTAAGGTAGTTGATGCTGTAAAATCAAAACCTCTTTTATAATTTATTTAAATATTTTGTAACTTCTATGTACCAATGTCTCCATAATATTGCTTTTCTAGATTTTTTAATTTTAGTTGTAAACAAAGGTTGTGTTTTAAGTTTCTTTTGTATTGCTTTTTTTTTTTTTTCACATGGTATTTTGTTAAAAGTATTAATTTATTATGATTAAATTAATATTAATTAATATTTTATATAATTTAATAATTTTATTGATGTATAAGATTTTTTAAATAATTAACAAATAATAATAGTTTTTCTAATAAAATACTCAAGTTAATCACAACATTTCATAATAATCCTCTCAAACACAGCATAAATTATTAGGATTAGCCCAGTCTAATCAAGTTTAATTCCTGTTCAGACAAAATTCAATCGATCTTAACTTAGTCTTGGTTTTTATAGACAACTAGATTAGACCATCAGAGTCGGTCCAATGTTGGAAACACTGTGGCTGAAAACCGCTACGTACTGGACCAAATGGCGTCAATCCATTCTCCTGCAATTTCCTTCTTTTTGTGCTGTGCCCTTAAGTTCAAGCAAAGCTTCTTTGAAGTTCCCCTACAATGGCAGAACGCCTGAAAGGAGAGGAAACCCCACAAAACACTCCCCCATCAACAACATTGCATTTCCAAGTTCCATCCCTCTCCAATTGTTCAGATTTCTTGCCGGAACCTCATCCTAAGTAGACGGTGAAACCAGGGAATTCTCTCTGAAATTCAACATCCATAACAAACGGCTTCCATTGTCCACTTTCAAATACGTGAAAATTGTAGATAAGCTGAAAGTGGGGTTCAGTCATATCATCTTCCCTTTGTGAAGCAAGGAAGAGATTGGGTCGGATGTGGAGCAGATTGCCCCATAAAGACAAGAAGGTATTTTGCCATCTTTCTTTCTATTGATTTGTTTCTTTCTTCCACTGTAACTATTAAAAGTCCCAACAATGCTTAGATGAAAATTGATTGTGTTATTGATAATAGAATTCTACATTTGGAATACCAAACAATTGTTAAAATGCATACAAACAGCTCAAGATAAAAAAGGACCAAGCTTGCCTCAGAGATTGGGATACAAACATTAAGATTATAGTACTATGAGCAATGGATGCTGAAAATGACTTTTCTCAAGAACTATACAGAATAGAGGGGCATCCTCAACAGAATGAAGTTATGGTAGAGACTAGAAAGTAATTTTGTTTCCCAGTTATAGGGAGAACGGTTTTTGATACACATCGAAACGTTCATTGGCAGTCAACTGTGGTTCCTGCAACAAAGGTTAGATATCTGAAAATCAGCAGCAATACCACTAACTGTATATAATTAAGTTTCTCGGACTGTGCCATACAGAAAGAAAGTACAGTAAAACTAGATACATGGAATTAAAAACAGAAACAAATTGTTTAATTTGTTAATTCACACATTTTTAATACAGACTCGATCTCTCACGAACACATGCATTGAATAAACTTTTTCTTCATTGAAAACCTTCATATCTAATCAAATTAATGTTTTCCAGACTAGGAGTATAATTCATGTTTGGAATTATGCGTGGATTTTTAATGCTTGTTGTCATGACTCATGAGGTATACCAAATTAAATGAACTGCACATATTTTAACATTATGAATAAGGAAACCTCACAAGGATGATACACACCTGTCTTAGTGCGCCAAGACTCCCTCCTGTTAAGAGCATTGTCAGAAGAGATGTAACAATACCACCATCAAGTGGATTGTCTGCGTTGCGAACGGTAGACCGCATTGCATTTAGCATACTTCCGTAAGTTCCTCCATGCCCACGTTCAATGGCTTGGATGAAAGAGTAAGTCATTGCACCAGTTGAAGTAACCCCTGATAAGGCCTGTCCATAAAGCCATATAAGTTCAAATGTCTCAATCTGGCTGGAAATTAATCCATATTGATACCTTAACAAAATTAAAAGTTTGCAGTGTATGCCTAAAAACTTACTGAAGTGTCTGCAGAGGCTTGATTATCATCACACCCACTAAAGGAGATCACCTCCCCTCCACTTGTTCCTTTCCACATGCCTGATGGAGGGCGATGATCCTCCCAGTAATATCTCCCATTCCTAAATCCAATAAAGAAGCTTTATCAATGCTAGAGTTATTGCTGAATGAACTCGAAGCCATTATGATGATTTCTACTCTTCTATGTCAAATTAATTTAAGTATCATACTTAGCAAAAAAGGACTACCAACCTGTCCATTCTACAGAGAAACGGTAAATCTAAAACTGTCCCACTATGGCAAGCATCTATGATGGCATGAAGCTTAACCCCATAAGGAAGAGGCCTGACTATTGCTGCATTGATTTCATCATCCACAATCATTCCTTGAGTTTCAAAATCTGATGGACAAAGTGTTTCATCATATCCATCCACCTCATCTCCAGTGTAGTTCCTCTGCTGTGAACCATGACCAGAATAATGGAAGACCAATGAATCTCCCGGTTGACATCCTTGCACAAGCCAATACAATGCCATTTTTATGTTGTGCTTATTCGGGAGCTTGTAAGGGTCAGTTTCTTCTTCTGCAAATAATTTCCAAACAGGGATTCAAACTAGAAGAGGTCATGACAAAATGTATGAATGGAAGGAGAAAAAAAAAAATGCTTTTTCCAATCTTAATATGCTCAATTAAACTTGCCAAACATTTTACATACATTCTATCTATTAAGTCCCCAAGAGATTAAATTAACTTCATAATAAAAGTTCAAAAAAAAAGAAAAGAAAAACTTCATAGTAAACATTAAATTTACGCGAATTAACTCCAAATTGATGAACACAAAATTTGAAAATCTCTAAAATTTAAGGGACCCAGAAGATCAACAAATTTAGAAATAAGGAGACAACACCAAACATTTTTGTGGGGCAAAAGAATATGAAGAAAAATGAAATCTTTATTTCATTACCAGTAAGCATGATAATGGAGGACTCGGGGAACTTGAATCGATTAACCAGCAAGTACTTCATACACTTGGCATCGTTAATGCAACCTCTCAGCTCGTATCGGGAGTACTTATACGAGACGCCGCATATCACGGCCCGCTTGCGGCCGTGGGGGGAAGGAGGTGGGCCTGGGGGCGCGTGATTGTAGGGAGAGGGAACCGGAGGAGGCGGAGGCTGGTAGTGGTAGCTACCGGCGGCGGAGTACGGCAGCGGGGGAGCGAAGCGAGGATCGGCTACAAGAGTTACCCTGTGGCAGATGACGCAGCGGATTGATAGCGCTCCTTCCGGTGGAAGCTGAAGAGGGGTGCGGCAGTTGGAACAGTTGACCAGCATGAACATGGCTGATGAGGACGGAGAAGAGAGAATTTGTGATCAGAATATGAGATGGTGAATGAGAGAGATGGGTTGTATAGCAAAAGGGGAAGTCAAGGGAGGAGGAGGGCAGTGGCAGCTGGCGGCGGAAGGTAAGCAGGACGGCGCGGCGAAGGGCGGGGAAGTAGTTGAGAGCTTGCAATGGTCTAACGTGAAATATGAATGGTATGACATCTTAAAATAAATTTTTATTAAATTTAACACGCGAAAACTTATTCGGAATGACTTCGAAGTTTCTTTTGTCTTGATTTTCTGCTTTATACTAATTAATAAAGGCCGGCGCCAGTTATAGTATTTGATATTAAGAAATTTATTTTTTATTTAATACTTTTGATTTATTTTTAATTAATTTAATTTAATTTTTTTATTTTAAAAATATAAAATTTAAATAAAAATTTAATAATATATAAAAAATAATTAAAAAATTTTTATACGTGGTTTTTGTTAAGTATTGTTATTTGATTAAAATTTATTAATTATTAATTATATATAATATGTTAAATTTTTATTTAAAATTTAGATAAAATAGATTAAGAAATTAAACTTGAATTTATTAAAAATATACAAAATAAATAATTTTTATTACATAGTTTAATACAATCTAAATTATAAAATATTTTTCCACTAAATTTTAACATTTGAAAGCAAACAAGTTATTGAAGCCTCTTTTTCTTTTTCTTATCATTTCAATTTTAGAAAGTTTAAGTTATATTTTTTTGCAAATAAACAATGTAGTGCTATTCTATTACTTGTAAACCGAATTCTTATAAAAGATAACATACAATAAATAAAGGTTTTGAAAAAAATAATTTTTTTGGTTTTTTTACACGGTAATTTTAATTTGTTAGTAGTGATCAAAAGTTGAGGTATAAATTTGTATTAATTTCTTGGAATAGAAATTTGTATATTTTTAGGGATTAAGAAAAATTAAGATATTTTGGTAATTAAAACACTAAGAATGATAATGAAAGAATCAAAATATTTTTCATAAGTCAACACACAAGAAGATATATTTAGGGCATTTAAATAATTTTACAAAAAAATTTATTATTTAGAGTGTTGAGATATTTTAATTTTTATTTTTTCACATATTTTTATATGTATTTTTTCTTTAAAAAAAAGTTTGAATATTGATGTTAATGAACAAAATTTGAAAATGCGGGGACGTTAGCAAACTGACGTGATAAATTTTAATAGTTTACAAAAATTTTATAATTATTTGAATTCATGATTCAATTATTATGCAAAAATTCTACTCAGATGGTACAATTAATTCAAATAAAGCTTAAAAAATATATTGATTCATCACGTCATTTCCTTTTTCAGTAGTTGAATGAGTAGCAGTTTACCAGCCAACAAATTAATCAGCCCATGGAGACACCTTGAAGGGAATAATACTGATAAAAAGGTGTCGGTTTATACTTCAAATGGTGTTAAATTATATAATTTGTATTATTATATAATATGAGAAATAGTTCTGTAATATTAAAAATTATTTTTTATTTAATAATTTATATTTAACTATTTATTTCATGAGATTTTGATACCAGTTCTGTAATATTAAAAATTATTTTTTATTTAAGAATTTATATTTAACTATTTATTTCATGAGATTTTGATACCAGTAATATATTTTTAGGTATAAATTACAATTAACGGGTCAATAGAATTCCGACATTTTTATTTGGCCGCTACACAAACATTATTTTCCGGACGAAAACATTGGTCAATTTGATTCCTACAAAAGCAATATTTGATATATATTTTAATTCAATATATTATACCATATATTTATTAAAAATAAAATAAATTTAAAGATATAATTATACACACATAATGTAAAAATTGATTAAATTAATTATATTTATATTATATTTTTAATGATTGAATTGAAAATGCATAAAAAAATATATTAAATTAAGTGTGTATAGATGATTTTCCATTCCGATATCATTTCTATTCTCTTTTTGGGAAATAAATAGTAGGCACAGTTATGTTTACAATTTTACATATTATTTAATTATTAATTTTTTTTCATCACTTATGATATAAATTTATTTATTTAATAATAATAAAAATTAAAAAAATACAAATAAATTATTTATATATCATTATTTATTTATTTATGGAAATTTATTTATACAAATAAATAGTAGGCACCATTCCATTGTTCGAATTTTGCACGGCATTTCAATTTGAATTCAAAAAAAAAAAAAAAAAATTGCGCATGAGGTGTCTCAAATATGCGTGCCTCTTGAACTATTGGAATGACACGTCAGCAAGGAATATTGAGAATCAAAATTGGAAAAGAACACGAAAAAGGGCTTGGCCCAAAAAGCCATGGAAAACGACTTTCCTATTCTTCTTCAGCAAAATAGGAACTAATATTCAATAATTAAATATGGTAAAAAATAAACGACGGAAATGTTCAAAAAAATAAAAATAAAAACAGAAAACAATTTACCTATTAACTATCAATCTTATATCACTTTCCCCATGAAAAATATTTTATCATTTAGTTAAAAATTTTTATTTAAATTTAATAAACAATTAATTACACAAATTATTATTTAACTTATTTTGTTTTCCTAAATCTAAATATGAGATATATATTGAGCTACACCTTTGATGCTTGAACTCATCACTATACCTTCAAGGTTGAACTTGAGTACCTATTGATCTATTCAACTTGGCTGAGGCTCTGCTCGGACAAAGCCTTACCTAAATATGAGATATATGTAGATATATATATACACTATTTCACCTATTGATAAATTAATTTAAGTTGCATGCTCGTACTATTAGGTTAGGCTCATATGATTCCAAATGGTACCAAGAATTCAGAGAATACACTCCATTAAGAAGTTTGATAAAGTCTGATCTATATGATCAATAGTAAATTAAGTTCATATCAGCTATGGAATAGGTTTTGAAGTTCATACTAACCTTGTATATGAAGATCAAGCATCTAAAATGAAAAAAATTCACATAGAAAAAATAAGGAAGAAATATGTTACCTAAATACAAAATAAATACTTCACCTACCTAATAGTCAACTTAGTTTAGGTTGAGCGAGCATGATATATGTGACTTAAAAACAAAACCAAATACTTCTCCTACCTAATTGTCAACTTGTTTTAGAACTAGAAATGAGTAACAATTGCTGTCATAACTATAACAACTAGCATGCTTGCGAAAGCTATGGTCGGCGAAGGTGAAGGGGGAAGAAGGATGTGGAGCTGCAGGCAGGGAATGATGAATGTCGGAAAGATCATGTAGAGAGATTTGTCAACTTCTACGATAGTTGCAGTTCTTTTTTCCTTTTTCTTTTTGATGTTTATGATAGTTACAGTGTTTGATTTTCTATTATTAGACTTTTAAAGTTGATCTATGATAGTTTAAATGACATGCACAATTCTTAAGTTATTTTATGCATTATATAATATGATATAATATTAAATAAATTAATGTATATATCAAATAAACTTTTAAATAAAAAAATTTAATTATCTATATGTTGCATTGGTATAATGTTGTGCACAATATTTATAATATATGTTGTTAGCATAGCTTTTCCCTAATTTATATTAGGCAAAACTCTATGTTAAGTCATAAAATTACTTTATATTCTTGATCAAATCTTTAAATTTTTATTGAAGCAAATAAACTTATAAATTTGGTAGTTTGAGTAATTTATTTATTTTTTTTATAATAAACTTAACGTTAATTTGTACATTACTTATGTGGACAATATATTGACAAGTCATTGCTTATGTAATGGGTATTAATCTCATTCATGCAAGTAAGACAAAAATAGATGCTAAGTATACCATAAGAAAAAGAGTTAAATTGCTTAAACCATTAAGTTTAACAACTTATTTATTTTAATAAAATTTTAGAAATTTAATCAAAAAAATCTAAATAAGTTCAGGGGTTTAATATAAGGTTTTGTCTTTAAATTAGTGTGTTCGAAACGGGGACTAGAAAGCTGTCCATGCCGCGTTTTTTCATGTCTCTTTCTTCAATGTAATTTTCTTAAGTCTTTCCTTTAGTAAAAACCAATGTGCGATAAATTGGTACTTTCATTCTTTTCATTTATACTAATCTCGTATACATTATAAAAGAAATTTAAAAGCTTATAAAAAGTAAAAACAATACAATGAATTAAATAATTTAAGAATAATTTTTTGATAAAAATAATAAACTCTGAATTTATGTGTTATAGTATGAAAGGGGAACGATTAAAAGATGGACAATGATTGGTATACCCATTAATTTAATACTCGGTTCAACACTTTTTGGTTTAGTTATTAGAACATCACTATTTTTTAATTTGAAATTAAAAGCAAACAAGTATAATGATACAATCATGTACACAAAATATAAGAACCAGCTGAATTGACTGTATTTATGTTATATTTTTAATGACTAAACCGAAAAGTGTTGAAGCGGGTATTAAACCAATGAATATACCAACGATTTCCCTTAAAAGATATAAGAGAGGTACCCATTATTGTAGGGTTTAAGATAAAAAATACGAAAAAATAAAAAAACTTCTGAAGATTAAGTTGATTACTTTTACAGTTATATTTTATATGCTATTATGTAGGTGATAATTAATTTTAACCATTGTTCTTTTCCGATTCTTTCCATAAGTACATGCACGACTAATTAAACCCGCACAAAATCAAACTCAAATCTAAACCTCAATATTTGAAGGCATTAGCCTTATTATTATCCCAGAGCTTCATTGGTGGCTTGAGAGATTATAGTTTGGTATATGTTTTCCACGTATTGTCATTGTTATAACCTAAACTGCGTATAACAATTAGGACACGTGAGAGTATTTTAGAAGAGTTCTATTAAGATTAGAGAAGTTAAATTCCATTAAAAACTTCTGCTATGAGGTTTAGAATCTATGAGATACAAACTTACAAAGACTAAAAATCTTTAATCAACAGAGATTTTAAACTTCGTCACTACTTTTAAAAGTGAAGAGTTTTGCACAAAGCTTGTTTGAAAAACCTACAAGAACTTGGAAGTAAGTATGATAGAACTTAATAAGAGAGATCTACCTATTTTCTTTACAAAAAAAAAAAAAAGAAAAAAAAAGAAGAGATCTACCTATTTTGAAACCTTCACTAAAATGGAATGAAGTAGTTTTCAACTATCCATGAGAATAATCCCAATGGCCATGCACGCCACCCTTAATATGTGGAGCTTTATCTAATATTTATAGATAAAGCAGTTTGCAATTATCCATGAGATTAGTCATGCTAAAGGCTTAGATACTCATATTTAGGGGTTTTTATGGTGTGATTTGATTTGAATTTTAATATTTTTTAAATTAACTAACTAATTTAATTGGTTAGTAAAGTTTTTAAACCAATCTAATCTACCATTATATGATAACCAAATCAATCCAACTTAAGTCGAATCGGTGTAATTCAGTTAGATTGATCGATTTTTAACACTATTAAATATATAAGATATTGAAAAAAAATTTAACATCAAGTAGAAAATATAAGTATAAAACATGTTAACATCTAAATCAATAAAACATAATTAAAAAGGTTCAAATTATAAACAAGTTTTTATATTCCTTTACAATTGTAAAAATTGAAAAAATCTAAAAATTCTTCTTTGTTACATCACTAGAGGCACCAAGGATGATAAGATATGACTTTAAGTTTTAAATACAGTGTAATTAATTCTTAAAAGTTAAAACTAGTTTTTTTTTTCCCTTAATATACTAATGATTCAATCCCATCTTCCAAATCTTATTAAAAGCGAATAAAATTTAAATAAATATTACTAGAATCGATTAGAAACATTCATATAAGATTTAAAACTACTCAACCAAATATCCAAGAATAACATAATATTTAGATTAGTTCTATTATGAATTTTTAAAATTTTTGAAATGATACTTCTATAAAGTTTAGATAGGAGAATCTAAATATCATTTTAGGAACAATTTAGAAATTTAGGATTCTAAAAGTAGAGTTGCAAATCAATTCTGAAAGATAGAGTTGCAAGTGAATTAGAGATTTAAAAATAAAGTTAGAATGCATGATTAAAAAGAAAAAACAAATTAGGATATGGGTTATGCTCTAGGGACAACCTTTTTATCTCACATTTTTATACAATTTTCATATGTCATTAAATGAGTGGATGTATTCAATATCACAAATACCACATGAATTAAAAGAGCTAATCATTTTAATAATATGTTAGGTTGTACAAAAAGGTAGGATAAAAAGGTTATACAAAAATCATTTCCCTTAGGAAATATAGGAATGCTTTATTTTTATTTTTTAATTAAGATAATGGAATTATTATCTTGTGAAATAAGAAAAAGAAAATTTTAAATACTATAAAAAATATTATATTATTTAATGAAGTTATCTTGGAATTAGACAATTTCGACGATTTGAAGATAAAATTACAAATCAAACCAATTATATCGATTTTAAGATTTTAAAATTCAAACCAACTCAATTTTATATTGGTTTGGTTTAATTTTTAATTCAATTGGATTAATTTAGATCAAATCAATCAAATTGTATCTGATATGAATAGCCTTACTCGTATTATAAAAAAAAAAAAAAAATTGGTCACTTACGGCACATTATGACATTACCAATGCATTAATCACTTTATTACAAGGAAAATGATTGGTACACCCTCGGTTTAACATATTTTTTGAAAACTTTCGGTTTAGTCATTAAAAATAAAATATAAATACAATTAATTCAATCGGTTCTTATATCCTGTGTGCATGATTGTATCATTAAACTTGTCTGTCTTTAATTTTAGATGAAAAATAATAATTTTTAAATGAATGTGTCATATAGTGTGTTGAACCAAAATATGTACAAATCACTGTCCTTATTACAAATATGCCATGACCTGCGCCTGAGTAATGTTGCAAAAAGTAATCTCTACATCTAACTGGTAGCCCAGATCGTAAGCAACAGATTCCTAAATACAGGTGTGGATGATTTCAAATATATATCCGCCTCCCCCAATAATAAGAAAGAAGAATAAGATGAAGTAGAAGAAGGCATGAAGTTGGACTGATCATAGATTCGTTGATAATTCTACTAAGTTGCTCATATACATGCCTGCTACTTTATTTAAAGGGAGCTGATGTTTTCAGCCTAGGCTTTGCTGACATACTTATAGACGTTATATATTCAAGAAATGTCAAACCGAAGTGTCGGCTTGGCTTCACTTATTATGAGTAAATATTATAAGACAGGATCAAAATTTAAGTTTTAAATGTATTATGAATAAGTGTGTAATTTTAAAATTATCTAAAAAAATTAATCACAAAATATATGCTAGTTAATCTAAGACACCCTAATCACTAAACTAAAAAATTTAAGGAAAATGTAGTTTTTTAACATAAAAAAATATAATTAAATCTCTTGAATTACTTACATAAGGCTTTCTTTTTAATGAAGGAAACCCTTCAAATGCAAGAGATTCTCCCTTATTTTAAGACTAATTGTGTGCGACTTAGTACAAACAAGATTAAAATTGCACAAAACATTATTCTGTAACTACATATTCTTTTTTATACTTAACTATATACATATTCTTTTTTACACTAATAAACTTTGAAAATTTATTTTCTTTAATACAGAACTACGAAAATTTATTAATAAAATTAAAATTTTGTTATAGTAATCCTTCCATATATTAATTGGTCCCCGTTCGTCAGCACTTTAAAAAGTGTAATAAAATCATATTATTTCAACATTATAATACAAACAAGGAATTAAAAATTAAAATAAAATCACTTTTACACAAACTACATTTTTTTATAACTATTAATAAAAAGATAAGATTCTTAATATTTAGAGTCTACTCTTTTATTAACGATTAAATGTAATACACTCAATACTACACCATTCTAATAAAATGAAAAAGTCTATACTTGATAAAATTTGTGTAATAAAAAAGTACTGCTCTGTTTAATACTCTGAGTGGGAGAGCCCCAACCTTTCTCTCGTCCATTTTCAGCCTCCTCCTCCCTCCCCTGGCCGGCCATGTTTTATATATCTCCACCCTTCGCCCGCCCCCTGAACCCATTCGGAACAACAAACATGTGGTTCCAGAAAATAATCAACGTCGCTCTTCAGGCACCCGTGTTAACAGTTCTTCTTCTAATCCCCTACACTATCTCCGCGCCATTAATCCCTCAGGATCCTTCCCAAGTAAACACTTGGTTCAATTCCGTTGTGACACCGTCTACGGACAGGACTAGCAGCCTGGACCTTGCCCTGGTGACAGCCGAGGCGGCAGCTAATGTTATAACGGTGAGTAAAGATGGCAGTGGAGATTTTGGTACGGTAGCAGATGCAATTGCCAACGTGCCGGAGGGGAATACACTTCGTACGATAATCAAGATTGGACCCGGGACATATTTCGAGAAAATCACAATTGATCAAAACAAGCCGTTTATTACGTTATATGGCTCGCCGAATGCCGTTCCGACTTTGATGTACAATGGCACAGCAGCGACGTTCGGAACTTATAACAGCGCCACCCTCATTGTCCTCTCGGATTACTTCGTAGCCGCCAACATCATTATAGCGGTATGCTTATATAAATATAAAACTTATTTTGTAGTTTAGACTATAACTTAAAAATTATTAGATGAAAAAACAAATTTAATATCAAGAATCTAACTTTTAATAAATTGTTAAGATTTTATAGTCTAGTATAATTTAGATTACATAATTTTTTTTCTATAAATATTATAATATTGTGTTTTTCAGACAAAAACAGCTCAAAATGCATTATCTAAATTGTAATACTATTAAAGTATTTTTAATGAATTCCCTTGTAGGTTAATTTATTAAAGTACTCTAATAATTTTAGTATTTAGACTGAAATACAAGTGACCCTAAACACAATAAGGGAGCAGATGGAAAGAATTGCCTTGATCTCCATCCGTATGAGATTGATATTGTTGTCTTCTTGGATTATGTTTTGGTGTTTAGAATTCGGCACCGATGCCAGACGGGAAAAGGCAGGGAGCACAGGCGGTGGCTTTGAGGACGGCCGGAGACAAACAGGCTTTTTATAACTGTACGATCGTGGGTTACCAGGACACACTGTTGGATGACAGTGGCAATCATTTCTTCAAGGATTGTTACGTCCAAGGAACCGTTGACTTCATCTTCGGAAATGGGAAGTCTCTCTACTTGGTAAGTCTGCACGGAAATGCCTGCAAAATTAAATTAAAAAACTAGGTATATTGAACAAAACTTTGAAAATTGCTTTTTATATATATCATACTCACATCCCATTAATGTGGCTTCGAATTAACTTTTACATATTTTAAAATTAATTTTTTAAAAAATTATAAAGACACACAATTTATATTAATATAATATATTTAACAAAATTAATTTTTTAAATTTTAACTCTAAACCTTAAATTCTGTACATAATTTATAAAACAATATTTATTTACTAGTCTTACCCATTAATCAAAGTTCAATCCTCCATAAATTAAATCACTTGTCCGCTTATATATTAAAAAAAAAAAATCAAAAACCACCTCGTACTCTCATTAATTTAGCCACTAAATATAAAAAGCTGAATAATCAGTTGAAGGCCGGTTAAATAATGGGATTAATCTCATCTTCTGGAAATTAATTTATGCAGGGTACAGAGTTGCATGTGGTGAAGGATGGCGGAGTGATAACAGCACAGGGAAGGGAGTCATTAAGCGATGAGAGCCAAGGCTACTCGTTTGTGCATTGCAAAATAACAGGGAGTAAGAAAGGGGCGTACTTGGGGAGGGCGTGGAAGCCAAGCCCGCTGGTTGTTTTTGCTTATACCACCATGGGAAAAGTCGTTAACTCTGCTGGATGGTCTGATAATTCCCACCCAGAGCGTGACAAGTATGTTAATTTTTCTGCAATTTATTTATTTTTATGATATTACTCGAATTAATAAATTTTTATGCATCTATGATTTATTAAGGTATTTTCATTTTTTTCAAACACTAATGTTTTAAAATGCAGGATCTGAACTAAAAAAAAAAAAAAAACATTTCTACATGTTAGATTTCTTGGTTGCTGGATAATTTACCAAGTGGCCAAAATAGGCACTTCAGACCATTTATATTAAAAATAAAAATAGAAAAGAAAAAAGAGAGAAAGAATGTGCGAGGAGGCCTCTACCATTCGAATAAAATTTAATACATATACTTTCGAGTTTTGATATTATTTTGAGAGTTTAAACTGTAAAATAAAGATATTTAGATGAGATAAAATTTTTAATATTAAAAATCTTATTTCTCATCTCAAAATTTTTATTATATTATTTTAGTACAATTCAAATTATAAAATAATTTTTTTATTATTTTGAGCATAGAAATTAGGTTAACATGGGCATAAGAATTCACCAATCACTTTTGAGTGTGATCAAAAGTATGGAGAATTGGACCTACTGGACCATGGGCCTTAGTCCTTGGGGCACGGGACCTGAATTATTAGTGGACCTTAATTACTCTGTAAATAAAATTTGCAGGACAGTATTTTTCGGTGAATACAAGTGCAGGGGACCCGGTTCAAGCCTGAGAAAGCGGGTCAAGTACACGAAGAAGCTAGACGACGAGTCAGCAATGCGTTTCATAAGTCTTGACTTCATTAATGCCACCACATGGTTACTTCCAGTTCCAACACTTTAATTCATTTTTCTTTTGCTCGTACACTGGTGTAAGGAAAATGGAGAATTAATCAATTGGATTAGTACCAATGGTTTAAATGGTTTTAATAGTAATTTTTCTTTTAAGTAAAACAAAAGATCTTAAATACAAATTGTAGGCATGTAAGTAAAATAAAATAAAAAAAAAAAAAAAAAGGAAGAACCTTTTAATTAAGCAAACTAAAAATGAAAAAAAAAATTATTTGATTTATTTAAACAGAAATAATTATTGCAAAATGTGCTAGAAATGCAGGCTTAAAATTTCTTTTATAGTCATTTTGATGAAAATTATTCCCAATATGTCACAAGTTTCACTCTCAATTGAAGCTTTTTATCCCGTTCTTGTGAAGGAAGCATAGGCTCATAAAACTGGTAGGGTCAAAGCCTGAATGCCCATGCCGATCAAAAATACCAAAAAGGAAGAGGCCTGCATGCCCATGTTACTAAAAAAAAATATAGAACTACTTTCCGTTAAGTAAAAATTTGCACAAAACTGAAAATTCGAATTCAGTTTTCATGTTTTCGATGGATGAGTGTCTTTTACACATCAAATCATCAACAAGGTTTGTTGGGCCAAATTTGAAGTAGGCTGTGCATGCGAGCCCATAGTCTTGATGGACGATCTGACCCAAGTAAATTTACACACAGTTTCAAATTCAAATCCTTTTTTTTAAAAAAAAAATTTGATAATGATGTGTTATATAAGAGAATATAGCCTTCCTCTTTTCCTAAATCCCTTCTCACCTCACTCAAAATTCAAAATTAAAATTTTCATTTTAAAATTTCAAGTTTGTAACTATTAAACCATCATTTTGAAATTCATTTCTAACTCTAAAGAAAAATGTGGACGAATGCACATCATAACTCCTAAATTTACAAAATGAAGCACATGCACTCCATTTAGTTTCCCCTCTCAACATTGGAGGGTTATTCTTGTAATCAAAGCTAATGAAACAGTTGTAAAATGACCTCAATGTACTTTAGATACAATAAAAAGAAAGAAGAAATAAGAAAAATAATGAAAGAATGGTTGACTTTTCACCATCATTTTTAATGAAATTAGACTATGTATCATATATGTATGAACTACACCTACCCAAAATCACATGAGACAATATTGAATCAAGAATCAAGGATTTGAATCTTTAAACGTACTATATCTTACCTTTATTTTGCCATTTTAGCCCTATTAGGGTTTGTGTTTGCTATTTAAAAACATATTCTAGTGGCCATCTTAATTCATTATTATAGTTTTAAGGGAAATTCAAAATCTTAAAAACACTTAAAATTAGAAACACTACTAGATTCTCCTATGAGAAAAAGAGTAACCACTTTGGAAAAAGAACTAAAAAAGAAGGAAAATTGTCATGAACGTGTCAATTTTTTTTTATAAATATGAACGAATGCTCCATCCCCAAAGGGTTGATAACTCAATATAACCGATGAATATATGATTTTTCAAGAGAGTGAACCAAAGGGTGTATTATATGTAATGTTTTAAAGTTCATAATGTTAGATGTTACTTCAATGATAGGGGTATACTGCAAATTAGGCCTTCAAATGAAGAAAAATATAAGGAATGACCGTTAAGATTGCACTTAAATCATTTAGAACTTTCATACCAAATAAGCCCCTCAAAATAACTTTAGCATTAATTGAATTTTTCATTTTTGTTTTTTGTTTTGACAATATGTGTGTTTTCCAATCAGCATGTGCACATCTTGGGTCCAATTTTTACTTAATTAATTTTAAAAATACACCTTTCACATTAATTTAGTGCATTTAAAGAAATTAAATTTTATAAGTATTTGTCCAAAACTTAAAATATGAACTTATTTTATAAAACGAAACTTATTTACTTATTAACTTATTAATTAAACTTTTTAATTGCACAATTGTTGCTAAAGTTTTAAATGAGTTCAGCTACTCAAAACTGAATTCAAAAAATAGTTAAATCGAGCTTTAAGTAAAACCAAAACTTGACATGACTCAACTCAACATGACACAACTTGACTTAATTCAATTTTATTTTAATTAACTCGACTTATTGTATTAAAAAATAATTATTTATTAAATATTTAAAATTCTAATTTTACTTTAATTTAAAATTTAAATAAAATTCAAAGAATCAGTTTAATTAAGTTTGAGTTTACAAATTGAGTTCAAGTTCATGTGTCAATTTTAAATTCACAAGTTGAGCTCACACTTAAACTCAATATCTTTAAATTTGATAAAAACTCGAACTCTAACTTGACTGTTATTGCAACATCAAGTTTAAGTTCTAAGAAACCTATCAACTCGACTTATATATAATCATTGATTGTATTCCACTTAAAGCAAAAATATGACAATTAAAAAAGAAAAAGAAAACTTCAAGCAAAAGTAACTTTCATTTTATTTTGGTTTTTGGTAGATGATTTTGATTGATGAATTCTGGTATTTTTTCATAGGCTCTACAATGCACAAGAAAAGAGCAATGCTAGTTGCTTGAATAAAAGACTATAATAGAAAAAGGAAGTCACAAAGCAAAAGTCCGTAATAAGATTCACATTAGAGAAAGTTTCCAACACATTCATAGGTTAGAAACTATTATGTGTAGGCAATGACTCTTTCCTTAACTTCTGCCTTAAGTACAATTATCATACAGTCTAATAAATGAACACAAGATTTTTTCACATATAGACTGGCTACTGGCTACTGCACTTCCTGAATTTTTCTCTTCCAAATCCAGCCATGAAATCTATTATCTATATGAACTTCTGTAAGAAAGTAGCTAATCATTTGGTCAAAGTAGGAAGAATGCTGTTGAAATATCAACAATTCATGCTGGCCGATTAAAAAAAAGACCAAAAGACAAAAAACAAAACAAAACAACCACAACAACAACAATTTGAGCAAATTGGGAGGAGCACCTTGAGGAATCTTGAAAGGCTAATGTGAACCCCACGAAAACAACATATATTTTGACCAAGGGAAGCATTAAGGTCCATATCTGAATTAGATTTTGTGGGAATTAGTTTACAATGGAATCATTATCTCTGTCTTTTTGCACAAGTGGGAAAGACCAACATAGGCCACTAATTGAGAACATTGCTTTACTTAATAATCATACTCAAAATCATTTATATGGATTAATTTCTTTTAGTATCAAACTTCATATTAAAGTTAAACACCCAAAGGATAGTAATTTAGTTATAATAAGGGGTTTGCCTATTATCTTATTAATTAAGATTTGATTTTTGAGAGAGATCACGAGAAGGTAATTACTCAAAAACCTCCTAGTCCTAAGCTTAATTGAGCTATATCTTTGATTGAAATAATGATAAAAGTAGTTCGATGCATGCAAGCTAATTCAAGATACTATTTTATTGCTAAAGAAATTCGTATTTCTTTAACCATTAGCATGATCAATTAATGGACAGCCTTTGATCAGATGAAGATCTCAAATTTATTTATCAACATGTGAATTGAATTAAAATACATTTTTTAACTTGCACATTGAAAAAAAAAAAAAAAGATTATGCACTTGATTATCTCATCACAAGAACAAGTGTATTGAAATTTAAAAAGGTTCTTTCTCACCAATATGATCAAGATTTAAACCATCATTCTCCCTCTTTACCCCTCTCTCCCAAGAAAACTTCAACCTAGTTAACCCATTTCATAAAAAAATCTATAATTTATTACTTATAATATCAAATTCTTAGTAATAAAGCACTCTTTAAAACTTTCTTGCATTTTTGTAGATATTGTACATGAATATCTTGGTATGCATATATTCGACTAAGAAGAACCATTAAAAGCAACAAACTATGGGATTGTTTAGTGGAGCTTAAAAGTAAGTTTGCTTTTTGATGAGATTCTTCATTACTAGCTAGCAGCCCCACTTAAACAAATCTCTACTTGTATATATTTTTTTATAATTATTGCTCTTTCTAATGATATGGTTCCTTTAATAGATATGCATACGTTAGCAACAAATATTTGTTGGTGTGTTCTAATGCCTTTATGGGTTTGGAAGCTTTATTGGATAGGAAATTTCATGGTTCAACCTCTCCTTGTCTCAAAATAAGAGATAACAATTACTAGGATACTTGTGGAGGTATCTCTCAATGAATTTTTATATATTTCAAGACTACTTATTTTTTAAAAAAGAAAAATTTAAGAGTGCATCTCTCATATTGATTTAGTGTATTAAAAAAAAATTAAAATTTTTAAGTTAAACTTCCAATTTGGTCCCTCAATTATTATACGAACCTCTAATTTGATCCTTAAACTAAAAAAATTCCTAATTTGGTCTCTACATTTACCAATTTTGCCCCAAGGTGATCCTTATGTTAGAAAACAATTGACATGTTTGTTACTTAATAATAAAAAACTGTTACTTAATAGTCACTTGTCACATTAATAACGAGACACGTTAACTATTTTTGTATAAAAATACTAACTTAGAGTCAAATTAGTAAATTGTAGGGACCAAATCAAGAATTTTTTTAATTTAAGGACCAAATCAAGGGTTCATACAATAGTTAAGGAATTAAATTGGGGATTTAACCAAATTTTTAAATATTGACCAAGACTTAAACATTAATCATGTGTCCATATGAAATCCATACCATATATAATCCACTACTAATAAAGTTTGACTTGCTTTTTAGCCTGTGTCGCCGGGCCTTCTAGAAATTTGGTACCATACCACATAAAGTTTAGGGTGTGTTTGGCTAAAAGCAACTTTCTCAAGAAAGTTTTATTGAGGAAATGATTTGAAAAGTATTATATGGAATATTAAAAAGTATTGTACGAAAAAGTTGCAAATTTTGATAATGAAATTTTATTATAATTTTGTTAGCATATTATCTTTGGTATGTTTTGTAAAGAATTGATATGGAGAGAGTATTGTAAAAGTTGAAAAGTTATTAAAAAGATATCATATAAAAAAGTTGTAGAAAAATTTTTTCTTTAAAAAAAATACGAGAAGAAATATTTATGGGTTAAAAATTACATCTGGAAAAACATAAGCAAAAAATTTCACTTTTACCATTTATTTATTATAATTTTAAGATATATAAATATTAAAACACCCTTATAAAATTTTAAAAAACAACATTTCCTAAAAAAAGTGAACCAAACTCCCCCTTAAGTTTCAAACCACAAAGGGTAACTTAATTGGCAAGGTAGTGATGAGTCCCCAACTTCAAGCCGAATTTGGACCATTTTAATATAAAATCCATAACTTATCTAGTACGGTGGTGTGAATCCAATCATTGCACTGAGAATTTACCCTCCAAAACAAAGGTGAAAATAGATCTTCTCTAAGTAAATAATAAATTAAGTTAGTTGTTTCATTAATTAACTCTACAAAGACTAAAGCTACGACGCACTAGCAAAAAATGATTCATTGACCATGCCTCTCTCTGGACATGTCCATCATATCTTACTGGGAGGTCATCTTATGTGCTCATAAAATTCCAAATCACAAATTTAATTAAAGAATCCTAAGTTTAATTCATTCATTAATCATATAGAATACAAGGGTGTTAGGCAAGATTTAAAAAATAATTTATTTTAAAAGTCCATTTGGTTAAAAGAACTGATTTTATTTGAAAATTTTTTATTAGAAAAGTGATTTACAAAAGTTAATAAGTTTTGTAGTAAAGTTTATTGAAATTTTGTTAAGTTGTTAATTTTTTTTTTTATGTTTGATAAAAAATTGATATAGAAAAAATTGATAAAAAAAAGTAGTCAAATAAGTCTTACACGAGAAAAGTAGTGAAAAACTTTTTCCCTTAAAAAAATGTGCAAAATAAAGTATAACAAGTTGGAGATTATGTCAAGGAAAATAAAAGTTGAAAAATATCATTTTTACTCTTTTTTTTTTTAGTATTAATATGTAAAAATATATAAATAACTTTATAAAGGTTTGTAAAGGGAAAATTTTAGAAAACTTTAGAGAGAAAGTTTCCTCCAACCAAACACTCCTAAAAATTAAATTTTTTTCTCACAAATTTAAATTTTTATTAAGGAAAAATTAAAAATTTAACTTTTAAAAGAACTTTTATAACATATTTAAGTTGAGAGAAATAGAAAGAAGAAGAGAAGAGAAGAGAAGAGAAGAAGAGAGGAGAGCAAAGAAAAAAGTTTTTTAACTCATCAAATTATAATATTTTTAAAACGTTATAATTTAATTAATTAAAAAATCTTCTCCTTCCCCTCCCTCCTCTACTCTCAATCCAAACATATAATTAAGTAAGTTTTGTGAAAACAACACATTTTAATATTTTTGAAAATTAATTAAAATTAACTTTAAAAATTAATTTTTAAATTTCTCTTAAATAAAATTTTAAATTAGAAAAAAAACCTGTTTTTTACAACAAGCGATTTTTTAAACTTCGCCAAAAAAGCGTCTGATCATTCCTATCATCAACATTAGCCGCGGAATCCAAATAATTAGGATTTCGCTTTGAACACAAATGAAGCACTAAGAAGAAATTATTCATTTCCCCTCTCATTCATTAGCCCTATAAAGCCTACAGCTAGTACGATACATTAGCCAAAAATGATTCTTCGGCCTAGCCACAGACATGGCGAACAAGCCAATTCAGTCGGTTTCAGCCACTATTTTATTATTTTTGGTAAATGCAACTGGGCCATTATTTTTATTAGTTGGTTTGATTTTAGTTTGGGTCTATTCTAGCCAAAATGACCTTAACCCAATGAAGATTGAAGAATGAAAGAGTTTTTAATAGCGTTGTGGAAATTTTCTGTAGACCAAAATATTTAAAGGGCATCTTTGGTTTGAGATAAGGGAAGGTGAGGAAAGACTATTTCAATGAATCAAATTAAGTTACTGTATTAATATTTTAATTTGATTCGACCAAATAAACTTTAAGTTATTGTATTAATATTTTAGTTTGATTCGACCAAATAAACTATCTTTTCTTTTTTTTCTTTCTCTCAAACCAAACAATTCCTAAATTTAATCATTGTATCATTGTTGGAGAGGATAAAATAAGTATTTTTTCATAAAATGTGGTAGTTAAAACCTTACTTAGACCAAAATTACTTCAAAGAGGGGTACAAAATGTAAACTAAATAACATTTTTCTAATTTGTGTTGTTTGGGTACAACTACATAGGTTAAAAATATAATACATATATTTTTTAACCTCTAATTTAAATATAGAAATACAAAAGTTTAGATTAATTTTAGTAATAATACCAAGTGTATAATTTTAATTAGATGGTTAATAAAATAAAATTTAATTGTTATTTTTAATATATAATAATTACTAAAAAGTAGATTTATTTATTAACCTATGTCCTAAAAGACCTAATAAATAAATAAGTTTTTTTAAAAAAAAAAAGTCTTTCAAAATTTTTTAGGCCTGGACCGGTTCCAATCTTAGGCTTGGCTTTTGGAAGGCGAACCTGTGACGGCCCACTATATATAAGACCAATCCTGAGCCCGAG